CTGTTGTTGAGATCCCACACTTGGGCTCAGGCAAGAAGGGATCCGGGGATGTCAACAGACCTGGGCAGCCTTTAAGCCAGGCTGACACCCATCACTGAGGCCAGAGGGAGATGAGGAACCTGACAGCCCAGCTGGTCACCCCCTCCCCATCTACTGCAGTGTCCTGTGTTGGGATGGCAGAGACTCTGTTTGCCCCCCTCATCCCGTGCCCCATGTTCACCACTTATGTATGGTTTTGATATATCGTGTACAATGTAGGTCTGGTGAGGGATCATTGGAAAACTCACGATCTGCTGTTGAAATGTGTGCAACACCAGTGCATATAGAATGGTGAGATTTTACTTTACGTTTGTTGTTAGAGTGACCATATCCCAGGTGCCCCAAAAGAGGACACTGCTGAAGGTGGGAGCTGGAGGGGAGGTGAGTTGGAGGGGGTAGAGTGGTGGGGGCTGGAGGGGATGCAGTAGCGGTATTCACAAGGTGAGGTGTAGTGGTGCAGTTTCCCACTCTGGGAGAAGAGGAGTTAAAGCAGCCATTGGGGAGGCTGTGCAAAGCCCAGCCAATGAGAGGAGGGCTTGCAGAGCGAGCCAATGGAAAGAAGGCTTGATGGAGCAGCCAATAAGGGCCAGTGAGGGCCATATAAAAAGGACTGTTCTGCAGAGCAAAGAGCAGTCTCTTTCTCCAGCCTGAGGGAAAAGGATTAGCTGTCTGTCTATAAAGGGAAGTGTCGGGAAGGGCAGTGCGGGATGGGGTGAGGCAAGCAAGCGGAGCTCCAGCCTGAGTGACTGCCAGACTGAAGCCCCGATAGGGGGCAGGGAAGGTGCTGGGGCTATGGGGAAGTGGCCCAGAGATAAAAAAGTAAACAGCAGAGCTTGGAGGAGAGGCAGTAAGTGCTGCTGCTAGAGGGTCCTGGGGGTGGGGCCCAGAGAAGCAAGCGGGCCTGATCCTGTCCCATTTGCTGCCAAAGAGCGCGGCCCACCAAAGAACTGCAGTTTGCCCCTGAGGGAAGGGCTAGATCAGGGGCTGCAGTTTGTCACCATGGCGAGAGGCTGGGATCAAGGACTAAGGGCTGCTGGTTCCCCTATATGATGTGATCTGGTTAAAATATGAACATATAGATCATTGTTGCAACCACTGTTTTATGTTTGCAACAAATCTTGTACAAAGGTGGTCAAGTGAGGTGTCTATGGAAAGGATATCAATAGCTGGTTATGATTATGCTATTTGTATGCATGTATCATTTTTGTATTTGAAATTATGAGTATTGACTATGTACTTGTATTTCGATGAGTTTGATTCTGAGTAGCACCAGTGAAACATTGGGCCAGCGTATTGTGAAGGGACTATTCAAATTGAGTGGCCCATCAAGAAGTACATGGCTGACAATGGGCCTTGGGAGATGCCAATCCACATCTGATGAGCCTGCCTGGGAACGTTCAAACTAGCATGTGGGCCATGGCTTCTACCTATAAACAACTGAGTCATGCATGGACAGGTGATTTGCCCATGTGATGGCTCATGTGACTGGAACCATTTTGTTACTGTTCTTTTCCACAGTAAGAAGAATGGGATTTTCTCCACCTGACAGAAGATATAAAAGGCCCTGGGAACGTCTCCATCTTGCCTCTTTCCTGCTCTAGCTTCTCTGCTGCTCAAACCTCTGGAGTATGCACTTATACGAATGGGAGCGTTCCAACCAGGGAACGGAGGTCCTTCTAATGATTTGGAAGTAACCAGAAACTTGAGTTAAGCCAGCAGTTTATTCCATCACTGCTGTGAGCCTGAATCAAGAGCTCCAGCAGCAGCTCCCTCCCAGGAATGTGGCTGCCCTACAAACTCTGTGTGAGCTGCCCCCCATCTAGGACCTATTCCCTGCTGGGCTGCCCTCCTCCACTCCCTCTTCCCCATAAAGAGCAAGGGAAGGCACCGGGGCTTTCTGCACCTCCTCCCCCACCGTTCCCCTCCCAGTTTGACACCAGACCATTGATGATTACTCTGAGTGCAGTCTTTAGTTGTGCACCCACCTTACAGTATTTTCATCTAGACCAATGAATTCCTCCCCGCTGGTCAGAACTGAGTCTAACCCACCTACCCCCTGGTTATGTCCTCCACCATTGGAAAGCAAAAGTTGTCCCTGACGCGTTCCCAGGACTTAGTACACGTTGGGTGCTGTTAGGGTGGCCAGGTACCCAGTTTTCAACCATGAAGTCCAGTCGAAAAGGGGACCTGACAGTGTTTAGTCAGATCTACTGACCAGACACCCAAAGTCTAGTTACTGCGGGTGGGGAGGCACTGGGTCATCTCCTTCACCAGACCCTACTCAGCCAGGGCTGCTTCCTACCTGCATAGGGCAGCTGCGGCTCCCATGTCTGGATCCACAGACAAGTCCCTCCTGACCTGGGCAGGGAGGTGGGGAAGAGAAGTGGATGGTGGGCAGAGCCTTGGAGGAAGAGGCGGAGTCGGGGCAGGGCCTTGCAGGGAAGAGGTGGGGCAGGGATGGGACCTTGGGGGAGGGGGGGAGAGGAAGGGCAGGGGAAGGTCCAGCACTTCTGCTTGAGTGTCCATTTTTTAAATATTACCAAGTTGGCAAACCAAGTCGCTAGCTGAGAGACTGTGAAAAATATTACTAAACATAGAAATACTATTTTTTGCAGCAGCAGATTTACTTGCTAACAGGAAATAAATTATGATTTTCATGTTTATAGGTGTAAGGAATTGTTGGCCCCTTACAGAAACTTAATGGGTTGGCCATTAGTTGGTCATCTTAATAATTTGGCTGTCTCCTTGTACCAAAAGAAAGGGGAAGGGCCAATGAGAAATCAATATCCTGAGACTGACAATGGGGAGGGGCCAATGCTCTAGGTCAGCCTGATTGACAGGGCAGGCAGGCCAATCAGGGAGTCAGTAATCCCAAGGGTCCCCTCCTCTGTGTCAGCTGGAGCTGGCTGGGCCAGAGCAGGGTGGGAGCTGCTAAGGAGAGAGGAGAGTTGGGCTGGGAAAAGAGTATCCCCAGCCAGAGCCAGAGAGGCGCAGCCCAGAGAGCGGGGCTGGAGGCAGAGCAGCAGCAGTGCTGAGGCAGAGGGAAACTGGAGCAGTCTGGAGCCGGGAGCAGTGAATGAAGGGGACCCTGGGCAAAGAGCTCAGGGCAAGGAGATGCCCTCAGCCAAGAGGCCTTGCAGGCCAGACTGGGTGGGGGATCATAACCCTGACAGAAGAAGCTGATGCTAGGAAGAAGGGTCCTGACACCTAGCGCCTGAGGGTATGTGGCCACCACCAGAGTAAGGCCTGGTCTACACTACGATTTTAGGTTGAATTTAGCAGCATTACCTTGATTTAAGCCTGGACCCGTCCACACGACGAAGCCCTTTTTTTCAACTTAAAGGGCTCTTTAAATTGATTTCTTTAATCCACCTCCGACGAGGGGATCAGCACTGAAACCAGCCTTTCTGGGTCGGATTTGGGGTAGTGGGGATGCAATTCGACGGTATTGGCCTCCAGGAGCTATCCCAGAGTGCTCCATTGTGACCGCTGTGGACAGCGCTCTCAACTCAGATGCACTGGCCAGGTAGACAGGAAAAGGCCTGCGAAATTTTGAATTTCCTGTTTGCCCAATGTAGTGGAGAGCCCAGGTGAACATGCAGAGCTCATCAGTACAGGTAACCATGATGGAGTCCCAGGATTGCAAAAGAGCTCCAGCATGGACCAAACAGGAGGTATGGGATCTGCTCACCATATGGGGAGATGAATCAGTGCTAGCTGAATTCCGTAGCGGTAAACGAAATACCAAAACATTAGAAAAAGTCTCAAAGGGCATGAAGGACAGAGGCCATAAAAGGGACGCACAGCAGTGCTGCTTGAAAATTAAGGAGCTAAGGCAAGCCTACTACAAAACCAGAGAGGCAAACGGAAGGTCCGGGGCAGAGCCGCAAACATGCCGCTTCTACGCGGAGCTGCACGCCATGCTAGGGGGTGCAGCCACCGCTACCCAAAACCTGTGCTTTGACTCCGTCAATGGAGAATCACGAAACATAGATGCGAGTTTTGGGGATGAGGAAAATGATGATGAAGACATTGAAGATAGCTCACAGCAAGGAAGCGGAGAAACCGGTTTCCCCAACAGCCAGGATATGTTTTTCACCCTGGACCTGGAACCAGTAACCCCCGAACCCACCCAAGGTGTGCTCCCAGAACCTGAGGGCACACAAGGCACCTCTGGTGAGTGTACCTTTGTAAATATTACACATGGTTTAAAAGCATGCGTGTTTAATGATTAATTTGACCTGGCATTCGCGGTCAGTACAGCTACTGAAAAAGTCTGTTAATGTGTATGGGGATGGAGGGGAAATCCTCCAGGGACATGTCCAGAAAGTTCTCCTTGATGTACTCCCAAAGCCTTTGCAAAAGGTTTCTGGGGAGGGCTGCCTTATTCCGTCCACCATGGTAGGACACTTTACCACGCCAGGCCAGTAGCACATAGTCTGGAATCATTGCATAACAAAGCATGGCAGCGTATGGTCCCGGTGTTTGCTGGCATGCAGACAACATTCATTCCTTATCTTTCTTTGTTATCCTCAGGAGAGTGATATCATTCATGGTCACCTGGTTGAAATAGGGTGATTTTATTAAGGGGCCGTTCAGAGGTGCCCATTCCTGCTCTGCTGAACAGAAATGTTCCCCGCTGTTAGTGATCATCCCAGAGAATTGGGTGTGGGGGGGAGGGGAGGGTGGTTAGTTGGGTTTGTGCTGCACGTTAACCTGGAAACCGCAGCCCCTCCTTTTAAATTGCAAACCCATTTTAAATGGCCAACCCAACGGCCGCTTGGTATGTGAAATGAGGGTGCTGTTTGAAACCATTCCACATGTTATGAAGGTAAAAAAGCCAAAAGACTGTGGCTTACCATGGCTGCCTGCAAGCCGAATTCTGTTGCCTGGCACTGCGTGAGTGATCTCTCACACCAAACCAGCAGGCCCTCAATATAAGAGGAAAAATACGACCTTGTAATGAAAGCACATGTGCTGTGTAATGTGAACAGCAAGATTTAATGTGAAAGAGTGTACCCATTGTTCTCTAAAATGTGTCTTTTTAACGACCACCTCTCCCTTCTCCTCCACCAGCTGCAAATGTTTCTCCTTCGCAGAGGCTAGTGAAGATTAGAAGGCGAAAAAGGTGCACTCGGGATGACATGTTCTCGGAGCTCCAGATATCCTCCCACACTGACAAAGCACAGCAGAATGCGTGGAGTCAGACAATGTCAGAGTGCAGGAAAGCACAATATGAACGCGAGGAGAGGTGGCGGGCTGAATCGCGGGATGAAGAGAGCAAGTGGCAGGCTGAAGAGGATAGGTGGCGTCAGCTTGCTGATAGAAGGTAAGAGTCGATGCTCCGGCTGCTGGAGCATCAAACTGATATGCTCCAGCGTATGGTTGAGCTGCAGGAAAGGCAGCAGGAGCACAGACCGCCACTACAGCCCCTGTGTAACCAACAGCCCTCCTCCCCAAGTTCCATTGCCTCCTCACCCAGAC